ACTGAATCCTTGGAGAAATGAGGAAGAAAAGTCTGTTTGTTCCATATACATGATACCATGTTCCCCTTTTTGGTTAAGGTATGTAAAAGTGGTGGAAAGTAAACTCAGGGCGCATTCAGTATTGAGGTTCTGCTCTCCTAACATCTAGTCTGTGTCTCCCTCTTTCCTTTACCGTCTTTAGTCCACACTCACCCTCTCAGGTACAGACTGTGGGCTGCTGGCTGACTCCAACTGCAGCCCCATAAGCACAGCCCCTCACAATAGGCCACCTCTGGGACATGACTCCAGGGTGAATTGGCAGCTATAGGACATAAGACACCCGTGTAGTCTAGGGGCTAGACTGACTCGTAACCTCTTCTCTTATCACTAGTATCCTAAGCCACATCCCTACCCCCACCAAATTCCCTAGCAGAGCATGTGGGAAGTCATTCTGGATTCAAGACCTTTGGCCCATTACCCTCTGAGGCTGACCTTAAACACGAGAAACCCAACGCCCTTCACCGAGAGTTCTCTTTGCTCCAATCATTGGCCTTCTGTCTGTGGCCAGTGCTATTCTACAGGCTTGCCTTTGTTTACACTAAAGGCCTCAGATCACCAGCTGAATGTCTCACTAAGCCAGCCAAGTTCAAAAAACTTTTGCAGCAATTCTTTCAAAACGCCACGTAGAAGTCTGGTGAGTGGCCAGTCCCTGTTGTACCAGGCTGTCCTACACCTAGCTCATTCTGTTTGCTGTGTGAGGGAAAGATGCCTTCCCCCTTTTCCAGGTGTGTTTCCCAGGCATCACCGGGAGCCCCACACGGGGGCGGGCTACAGGCAGGATGGGGCCAGGTTCCTGACAGCTGGCTTCTTGCAGTCGGGAGTGTGTTGCTTACAGCTGCAATTGTTCGGAGCCAGATCGCTATCTCGGCTGTTTGGCACACGAGTCCAGGAGTGCAAGCCAAGCATTTCCTGAGCGGCCTCTGGGTAGATGAGAGGACTGGTCTCGGCAGGCCGTGTAACTCAGGTCAGAGAAGCCTGCAACAAGAAACCTGAGAGCTGCGCCTGCATACACAGTGCCCATTTCAGTCCCAAGCACCGAGCCAGGGTAGCCTGGTGTGCGGCGCTGGAAAAGCCGAATCCAAATGACCTCTGCCAAACTAATAGCAATAATGATAATGGGAGGGGGAAAAAGAAATTAATCAAATCCAGAAAATCCCATGTAGAAGTTACTAATGGTCACGGTTTCACTGTGAATCTAACCCTTTTTGTTTTGTGATTTCAGCAGCTTGGGTATGTTCCATGCAAGAGGAAGTCATCTAAAGAGAAAGGACAACTTGTCTCTTGTAGTTTCAGTGCTGGACAGCTTGAGCTAACGGGTTCCTGCTCTTGACTCTTGCATATGAGCTGTCTCTTGCTCAGAGGGTCTGTCATTGTCAGAGCCTGGGCAGAGGCAGCATGGACCAGCAGATCTTAGATGGCATGGATGTTGGAGTAGGCCACCTCCAGGTTGGGTATTTGGGTATTTGGGCCTGTGTATTTGAAGGATTGGTCAGCATGCCAGCTCTCCCCTGTTCTCACCACCAGAGGGAGCGCTCCAGCATTGCTCCAGCTAGTTCACCCCTGGCCACAAAGAGCTAGGGGTGGGGCCAGTTCTGCTTTCAGGCCCTCAGCTGGGCTTTCCCACACCTACACTAGCTCTACTGTGTTGTTCAGGTAAGGTGTAGGGCCTGCTTTCCCGTGCTGCAGCTGGTGAGAGGAGAGGTCCGGGTAGCTCTCCTGCTCTTATGACCTCAGAGCCAGCTCTCTCGGCCACCTCAGGCACAGAGGGGTGTGGGGGGCATCTCCTGCCTATGCCACCATATGGCAGATGAGGGGCAGGGCCAGATCTCTCATGCTTTCCTCCTCAGGTCGGCTCAGGCGCATCCCCATCAATAGGGTCAGCTCCGCTATGATGCTCAGATGAGGGGCAGAGCCCAATTTCCAGAGAGTTGCATCTGGTAAAGGGGACAGTCAGCTCCCTTGCCAGCTGGAGGCAGTAGGGGGAAGGCATCTTTCCCTCACACCCACCACCACGTCCCAGATGAGGGAGGCAGGATCGCTGTGGCCCTCTCGCGCCCTCAGAACTGGCTCACCTGTCTATAGGATCGACTCTACTGTGCTGCCTAGCAAGGTGCAGGTCTGCTCTCCTGAGTGCCGTGCAGGTGAGGAGTTGGGTCAGGTCCTTACCTGCTGCAGGTAGTGAAGGGCGGGGGAGGCATCGTTCCCTTCCCACATGGCAGGTGCGGCCAGCTTTCCACTCTCACACCCTCAGGGTCAGCTTGCCCATGCCCCTGTGAGCAGGGAGAGATGCAGGACCCTCCTGAGCGCTGCAGCCTGTGAGGGGAGGGGGCAACTCTGTTCAGCCCTGTCCTCTAGGCCTTCAGGGTGACAGGATTTGGACATCAGCAGAGACCATGGCAACATCAGAGCCATGAACCCAGACATGGACCCCGGCAGCAGCCCAGGACCAGACATCACCGTGTCCCTGGGTGGCAACGAAGCCATCTACCTTAGCCCACTCCTCACCGCTTTCACCTCTTCAGACATGAACCATTCTCTCTCTCTCTCTCTCTCTCTCTCTCTCTCTCTCTCTCTCTCTCTCTCTCATACCATACATTTCCTCACCATAATAGTGTCCTCTGAGCCCTGGCAGATCACCCGGGCCTGCCTGTGGGTCTCCTTGTCTCACTTGGCCTGTCACAGCCCTGGGCAGGACCATACTTCCTCGTCGGAGCCCAGGGAGGTCCACCCCAGGCCCATTCACATTCTTGAGTGTACAAGCTTAACTCCAATAGCACCATGACCTCCCTGGTGCCACTGAGCCCCTGTTTAACTTAACTCACAGCAGCAACTGCCCCCACTTACACCCTGCTGCCCTGGCCCCAAACTTCCGCCCTCTACCTTTAACCTTTAACCAAGTAAGTTTCTAATAAACTGGAAGTTGTGGGAACTTGTTAGGTCCTGGTCCTTTCCCTGATATCTGAGACAACTCAAGCAAGCTTTCATTTTAGAGATTTGGTTTAACATGCCACTGACTTCCTGCACAGAAATCTGGGAGACAGAGACAGAACCACTGATCACTGCAGACTCCTGGAGTGAGTACCTCAGCCAGCAGCTTGTCACCAGCAGGCCATCTAACTGGGTGACAGTGCAGGGGGGTTACTGTGTGTGTGTGTGTGTGGGGGGCAGGAAGCAGACAGGTGTGGGCAGGCTCTGGGCCTCACTTGGGCACTTTGCAAGCTTGCTAACTTGGCCCAGCTGGAGAGGGAAAAAAATCACTGAGTATCTTGGCAATATCTATTGACACAGGCACTTGTCTGGATTTCCTCTGTGGGGCCACGATCCTGGCTAATGTCACACTGGAGCCAGCAGTTACAATTCCCACCCCTCTCCTCAGCGCTTTAAATACTGAAAATAGTGCAAATAAAATACTTCAAACTGATAAATATTGCTGGTCAATAGTATTATTATTTATTAATAATCCTTTATATCAGTGCTTTTCTGTTGAAAAGAAAAGCTAAAATATTTTAAGGTAATAGTTTCAAAATTATCTAGATTTTTAAAAAGTTTTTTTTTTAATTTATTTTTATACCACACACACTGAGCTACCCCCTAGACCTACTGTCTTGGTTTCTTTCCCTGTTATTGAGATAGAACACTCTGACAAAAGAAAGTTAAGGGAGAAAGATTTTATCCTTCTCACAATTCAAGGGTACAGACCATCATGGCAGGGAAGTCAAGGCAGTCTGAGGCTGTCTGTTGGTCACATTGCCTCTATGGTCAGGAAACATAGAACAGTGGATACATGCTCCCATCTTCATTTATATAGGCTAAGATCCCAGCCTAGGGAATGGAGCCACCCATCGTGGGCATGTCTTCCTACTTTAGATACTATAATCAAGCTACCTCCCCCAAAGGCATGCCCAGTGGCTCATCTATCACATTTTAGATACTGTCAATTAATATTAACTAGCCACCATATCTATGTTTTTGAGGCAGCTCATTATATACCTCATGCTGGCCTTGAACTTGCTTTTGTAGCACAGGCTGGCTTTAAAACCATGTTCTTCCTGTCTTTGACTCCTGAGTACTGGGATTACAGGTATGGACCACCACATCCAACCACAAATTATGATCTGACAACTGATAAATCAATGTGATAAAATAGTTGATTTAAGCATCTATGGCATTGACCTCACCATCCAGTTCTGGCCCAATACTGATAGAAATGTCGTTTAATGATTGCCAGAGCACTGCAAGTCAGTGAATCACTTGGGGGTTCTGATCTGGAAACAGTCTCATGCTTAAAACCTTCATCACACAGTGTTTTTCTGGCAGTGACTCTCAGTGTCTTGTAGACCCAGAACTTTCCCATTTGATTTCAACATCAGCTTCTCCCAGGACTTCACACTGCAGCCGGGCAGCTTAATTCTAATCTGGTAACTCACTGCCTGTTCCCATGGGTGCTTCTCTAGCGTCTTTAAAAGCAGCAGCAGTGGCGTGAAGTATGGAGCAGGAGCGGAAGGAACGGAGCTCAGCTGTGCCCACAGTCGAGCCTCAGAGAGCCTCAAATCGTTTCTGAGTAGTCTTCACCTCGTCTATGCAGAAAAGCCACCCACAAATGCTCCCAAAACAGACTGAACGTGGGCTACCCTCACAGGGAGGCTAATGGGGCTCCAGCTCAGGTAATGGCGGAATGGAGGGAGGAGATGTACAGCAGGTTTTACCCAGGGTAGAGCCAGCACCGTGGATGGAGTTCTGGACAGAAGTGCAAGAAGGGGAATTCACATGTTCAGGTAGAAAGCATGCCTTCTGTAGCCAGTGTGATGCCCAGATGGGATGCTCAGACATGTGTGTGGATGGGATAAGGATTTGAGAGCATTGGGCTTCTGTAGTGCCCACGCTACCATCTCTTCCACGAATCGGGCGAAGGCCTAGAGATTGAAATAAAGACAAGACAGCGGGTCATTTGTTCAATGGCAATGTCGGAACGCCAAATGCCGTTCTTGAGGGGTAAGAACGGGATTAAATACTGATTTACTGCACAGTGGAAAATTACAGGAATTTTTAGGCTTAGCTCCTCCCTATGAGGTGTGTGTTGTCACGAGGTGTGTGTCACAGGAAGAGTACCAACAACAGCCTTAGGGCAAGGAGTTCTGGCCAACAGCTTCAGGCCAGCTCAAGGCGCCTCAGGGGTCCATGCAGGGCCCTACAGGCCCCGGTGACAATGGGTGTGCTCTGTGTGCCACTGAGACCGGGAGAGGAGCGTGGAGTAGGGGTGGACTTGATCTTGACATAACAAAGTACAAACATTTTCAGAGTGGTGGAGTGAGCCTGAAGAGGCAAGAAATCCCTTTGGACAAAACAGTTCACGCCCCAGAACGCCCCTGTGTCCTTCTCGCCATCCGGTCTCTGGGTCTTTGCTGTACTTGGAGTTCATCTGGGAACACTGTCACTGGGAGGTTCCGGTGTCCCATCGCAAGGCCATGAAGGTAGAGTTCAAATGAGGACTAAGGTTGGAAAGATAGGCATGCCCGGTGGCAGGGTGTCCTGTGAGCTGGTTCTGTAAGGATGGAAAAAGTTAGCCTAACTCTCCCTAGAACCTGCCCCCTAGCAGTGAGTAGGCAAAAGGTCACCTTCTTGACTGTTTACAACAGGGCGGTTTGCTGCAGCACCTGTGAGTGAGTGAACACAGGAAATGAGCTGTGCCACACTACCCAGAAGCCCTAGCGAAAGCAGACTTCCTGGGCTAAGCGCGGGCTTGGATAGTTCAAATTAATTGGTCCGCACTGGATGCTATGAGATGATTGGTTTATGATGTGCGGGTTTTGTTGTAACCCTATAAATGCTGCCTGAACCCTGTACCCAGGGTTCCCAGTCCTCTACCCCACGTGGAGTATGGCTGTGGACCCCAGTGCACTGGAATATAAAGACCTCATGCTTTTGCATCAAGACCGCTTCTCGTGAGTGATTTGAGGGGGGCGCCTTTCCTGAGTCGGGGAGTGAGGGTCCATGCCTTCTGCGGGTCTTACAGTGCCTGTAGCAACATGATAAACAGAAGGCTGACTGTTGAGGAGGCACGATGCATGGCAGAAAGGTCCAGAAAAAAGGCGTCAGGGGTAGAAGGGACTCCCAGTCTAGTAGTCCTTGGCAGGCTGGTTGGAGAAAGTCGTCACGGGAGTCATGCCTTTGGAGGCACACCTGTCCCACTCCACGTCCTGCTCTCTGCTTCCCGCCTGCCATACTACTAGCCCCTCTGCCACACCCTGCTGCTGCCATTGGCATTCCCCTTAAATGGGCCCAGAAACATAGAACTTCTAAAACATAGTGTCACAATAAACCTGTCCTCCATTGACTATTTCTGCCAGGCGGTTGTCACGACTGTGTAAAATTAACCAATTCAGCCCAAGTCTGGCCTGACGTAGACTTGAAAGAAGATGAGTGTGAGTGGGCTCTGGGTAAGGATCCCAGGTGGAATGGGCCAACTCGGAATGAGTGCCCTGATGTCCCCTGACGGGAGGCTGGCCTCAGTCTGCAGGTCAGCACCTGTTCCGAGCTTCTTTTGAGAGTCCTCAAGATATTGGGGTGAAAGAAGGCACCCCTACTATGGCTGGCCATCTTCTAGGTAGCCCGGAAGAAGGGTATCGTGGACAGGAGTGAGAAAAGGTCACTAAGGGAATCAAACGCTTCTCCTACCATGAAGCACATCTGATGGCTTTCAGGTCCCAGGAGAGAGACGAGTGAGTCAAGCTTAACTCTTGCTGCAAGCTAGATTAAGCTGTAACCTTACTTAGTTTTCAGAAGAGTCCTACTAGGGAGAGCTAGCCTGCTGGGGCTACAGGTAACCTACCTATGGCAACCCCAGAGAGTCAAGAAGACCAGGACACAGGTTCAAATCTACAGTTCCTGGGGCACTGAAAACCCTGACACTCAGAGTCCTTCTCAAGAGTTCCAGAACCTAAAACTGCCAGTGTTTTCAGTTCACTGCTGCCCTGGCCAGGTCTGAGAGAGTCCGGCTTGACCTTTGTCCTTGTCATCCCTTCATCAGGCCTTGCTTGGCTGTCCCTTGCCTAGATAACCAGCTGCAGCTGCTCGTCAAGGACTGCAGACACACCATCCTAGATAATTCAGAGCACTTCCTTGTTGATTTTGGTGACTTCCTCTTCTTGACTGTGGAATGTGTCATGAGACACTTGTCATCTGACTTGTTTCCTGCTCAGCCCCAAGAGTCAGCTTACTTACACACAGTGTCATCTTGGAGCAGCTTCTCTGTAGGGCCTTTAGGAAATATGAGTCCCAGGGAAGAAGTGAATTCCGTGCAGTGGTACTTTGAATAAGAAGAGGGATTTTAATACACCTGCTAATGTCTCCAGCTCTGCTCTTTGGCTCATCTGGTAATGGGGATCCAACAGCCTAACTCACCAGGCATCCCCTCCTACTGCAGAGTGGGAGGCCCCTCCGCAGCCTCTGATGTCCTCATTGTACTTTGTTAAAGCAGCACTTTTGAGAATCT